TTTGTAAGTTAAAAAGAAGTCCCCACTATGATTCTCTCTGTTTGTAGTTACGCAAAATGTCGCAAATTTAAAGATTTTGAAGTAATTCAACCTGTGATTGAAAACTGCCGTAAAGAAATGACAATTTTCCCTCCCACTGAAGTGAAACTCGCCCTTTTCACCACCAGTTCCCACTTTTCATTACAAATTCAAAAAATAGTCGTGTTTATAGTTTACCTTTTCCTTTCAGAATAATGGAAGAAAATAGCCAATTTTGTTGAGTAAAATTGAGTTCATTTCCAGGAATATTGAAGAATATAAGAAAAAAGTGCAGAAAAATTTGGGCGAGAAAGTCTGGTGGTGAAAAGGCTAACCTGTTGTAGATTGCATAATTTGCATATTCTTTCACACCAGAGTATATATTCCAACCTTTCAACGCGTAGATTATGGCTTGAAGTACGTAATCAGTAATCTAGTTTGGGCAGTTCTTAAAATCTTCTTGTTAATAGGTGATTTTCCGTTCACTTCGAGATCTCGCGTAATGCATGAAAAACGCAGCACGGACGTCTGTTGCAACACTAATTTCTCTTTTTTTTACAGCTCAATGCTAGATGCCGATCTTTCACAGGGGAGGATAACATTGAGATACCCTTACTTCATTAAAAGTGACAATCGTCAAAACGTGTTAAGCACATTATTAAGCGTGGAAATACCCCTAAATACTTTTGCGTTTGTCGAATCTCACGCGATGTCTTGACGCCACTGCAACGCTTTGACAGAAGTATATTTTCATGTGGAGACAATATAAAACTAATTTTGGAAATGATAAAATGCTGTCGGTCTATTGTATCCAGTGCTTCTTTTTTTTAAGGGAGAAATTAAACTATATTCATTACCCACTTTTTGAATGGTCCAAGCGAAACTGAAACAATCCGTGACCAACCGCGACCAACAAAAAATTATCGAAAATAATCGATATTGCATATCACATAACACATATTTTAGCTTTTTGAGTGTTCTGTGTTTCATTAGTGTCAAATAATTTGAGTAGTCATTAAATAAATGGATTTTTATTTATAAGAAACTATTTTACCTGGTTCATCACTGTCGTACAGTGTATATTGATTGTATTTTAGGATGAGGTGTACCTATATAGGTTCTTTTTGATTAAACTACTTTGTTTTTACTTTTTGAATGGGGTACATCAGTGGTA